AAAAAACACCTGACCCGAAACAATAGGTAGTCCTTCAGAATGTAGGCTAGATATAGGCAGCAGTAATTTATAATCTAATATAATGCACGCAAATTTGTTCTTTACAGAAAGGAGCGGGATCTGAGCGGGAATTGCTTTACGGTGAGCGTGAGCGGAATATTAATGGAGCGCTTGCTTGGGCGGTTAGAGCGACTGAGTGGAGCACACGTCCATAGAGCGGAAAGCGGAGCGTCACACCACTCCGCTTCGCTCACATGCTCTGGCTCTGATCAAGTCTGCTATGTTGTTACCTTGGTGAGGTCTTTATAGAGTTCAGGATACAGCAGAGCCATCTCAGGCTTCACATCCTGGTCCAACACCAGAGAAAATACAGGGAACATGGTGTAGATGGTGGCGTAACTAGAAACAAATAGACATAATGTTAGGAAATGTGACACATCATGTTCAAAGGCACCTATGATGTCCAAAATTACGGTGTAGGTAGGCAGCTCACTAGTTTTGTGTGAACCAGCCTTTACTTACCCCACCATGAGGAAACCTTGGTACAGAGGAACAGATGCGAAGTAGAAAATAGAGGAGAAAACAGCCTGAGAGGAAAGACACAAATTCAAATCAAGATGTTAGCACTTCAAATCAAGAGGCTGCACAGCAGCAACATTAAATGTTGATCTTTGTGTTGAGAGAAAAACGATTTACTGTAATGACTCTGGGAACTATATCACTACAGAAGTGGAAATATACTGTACATGTGGCTCTTCACACTGTGTATGTTACCTGCATGGTGGAGATGATCATGCCACGGTGCATGACAAACTGGCCCAGAGCTGCTGAGCGTTTGTAGCTGTTGCGGCCGTGTACCATCAGCAGTCTGCCAATGTGTTTGAACTGGGTTATGGAGAAATCTGCTGCCAGAGACGCCTGCTTTCCCTCCTGAAACAATAGGTAAGAGAGATATATATATATATATATATATATATATATATATATATATACACACACACACACACACACACACACATATATATGTTTGTGTATAT